TACAGCAATACAACAATGTGCGATACCGCATTTATCTTTTGCAAGGGAGACCATCCGGTTATAATTAAATAGAAATACAAACTTAATTATTTCCCTTAAGTAAACTGATATTTTAAAGCTAAAATTCTAAATCTTTCAGTAGTTAATTCAAACCAATCTACAACTTCTTTTATGAAACACCCATTCGGGCATATAAACGGCCAAAATATGGCGGACTTCCAACAAGGAGTATATTCCATGTGCGTGATCACAAGCCAATTTCATAGAAATAGAAAAATACATAATCCCTAAAGAAAGCTCAACACGACAAAATTGAAAATGTTGCAGGCTCGGTTTGATTGAGCCTGTTCATGGACAATAATGGAAAGTGCAAGTTACTGTCCACGCCCCGTAGCACCGGCTTAAGCAGAATTCAACATTTAACACGAAAATGGTGAAATTTTGAATTTAGAAACATCCACAGATGTGTTCATACGGCGGTTATCATAGAACCTTTAATGTGACACAGTAGTGTCATTCCATGAAAAGCGGCGTATCGTCCCCAAGTCAAAGAATGTCTGTGCCCTAAACGAGAAAACAATGGGTGGAACTAAATAAAATGGAATTTCACAGATATGACGTCAAAAGACAATTTAAAAAGCAGGCAGCATATCCTAAGGGTGATTAAACAGTATTCAAGTAGGAATACTGGAACCACCCAAGTTGAAAAAGGCCAAATAGAAGAAACTAAAAGTACCTAATAACATGTATACATAACAATAATGTCGAACTAAACGACCATAGAACCCTTTAAAACTATCGCCTTAACCCCTTGATTATCAGTAAACCACTTAACACATTGACTTTTAAGGAAATGTCCTAGAGCCAACAATACTCTGCAGACAGCAACCAATTCCCTCCAAGTGGAATATTTGGTGCGACACTTATTGATCAGAGGTCTACACAATTTCGTGAACAAATAACAGGCAGACGATAAACCAAAAAGGAAGTACTAAAAACTTGTAATGTATGACATTGTCATCTTTGTTTTTCCAACTAAAACCCAAATACTCTGTGTGCGGTTCAAATATTTGAACAAAATGATATGCACTTGTTAAATCAAATTTTATCATATAACACCCTTTTTTAATTAAGGAAAGTGCAATTTTTATATATTCGTATTTACACTTTGCTTCCACAAGTGCTTGTTAACCTCTCTCGGGTCAAGAATAAGACGTTTTTGACCTAATTTATGAACTGATACGGAAAGTGGGTTAACTACATAGGGAATTTTCGAACCTTTTTTGATCAAATGTCTATCTTGCTCTAATAATGCTGATTCATTATTTTTGCATATAACATTAACTGAATGAGAATACAATGGAATCTTATATCCTTCGTCAATAATATCTAATATGAAATCATTACAACCAATTTTCTTCCAAAACTCTATATGACTTTTTAATGATCTGCCCTTGACAATAATATTCTATTGACCTTGTTAATATTCATGGTATTTATGTGTAAACCTTGAACAATCATTCTCATCTTTCATAGAAATGTCTGTATCTTGACAACTACCTAATTGCTGTGGCTTGTTGTCCAAAACCGGAAGTTGCTGATGACTGCGCTCGTGCAAAATCTCTTCGGAAGTGGGTGTTCTCTCCGCAATGAAAACATGGCCCTGGGGTGACAGGACCACCGTAGAAGCCGCTTCCGGTACCATAAGCGAAGCTGGAGCCGTATTCGTATTGCAAGACTGGAGCAAATGATGGACGAAAATTACGTCCCCGGCCCGACATCCCGCTTTGTACTGAAGAATATGGCTGCTGAAAACTAGGACCAACAGAACGCACAATGTCACGTGCGCCATGCCCTTTCGAAGAAGAACGTTTGCGTTTTAGTGCACGATTTTCAGCTTTATTGATCTTGGTTTCATCGTCGTTATCACTAGCTACAGGATTGCACTTATACATGCGCACCGTATCCCACCGTATCTAACGTGCAACTTCCCAGACAACTCTTTCAGCTGGTCACCACAATATTCAAATTTGCCTAGATCAATAGCCCACAAGGCCTGCTTAACAATGTCCGCAAGTTCACTGTTGAAACAGTACTTCTGCTTATTACCTTCGAACTTTCACTTTATCTCCTGTTCAGCTTTTAAATGTTTTACTTCAGAAGAAACAAAAACGTCGTTATTGTGTACTTCTTTCTTCAAACTAGAAAGCTCCAACAATATGACATTTAATTGTTCCTGTATTACTTATACTGGTACTGTAAGTTGCATCGCCCGAAGCCAAAACACGTTGTAAACAAAAAAACTTTCCAAAGCTGAATGACTATTGAATCGATAATTTTGCACGTGCGAAAATTATACGAATATGGACACCTAGCGATCACTCATTACATTCAGGGAAATTAATTTTCTTCTTATTCGCTACTTTTCGACAAAGAAAATTATATACCACATGAAAAGACAAGTATTTCCAACAAACATTGGAAGTAAATTTTGCTGGTGGAATTTGATATCTTCAGCCAATACATGTGATGTCAAACTAACGTATGAACTTGCGTTTCGCAAATTTTAGATTATCAAAAATAAAACAGTAGTTATAGATATCGACTAAAAATATTTATTTATTTTCATGTGAAAACATAGTGCTCAAGAAAGATAAAGTGATTCCTTTTCCGAAACTAATGACTTCCTAGCTCAGCATCATCGTACATGTTTGTTTACTTCCTATCTTAAATTGTATTTAGGTAAACATCGCATAATTCATACTCAGATTGATTTATTTTACATTTAAAGTGTGAGAAACAGCGAATGTATTATAAACAAATTAGATCTCTGAACTGACGAATATTCGTACTCGATTTTTCATTTTGATTCGTGATTATCCGAGTACTCAGACACTCGCCCCAGCCCATATTAGAATTAAAGGGACAAGGGCTATAAGGCTGAGAAGGGGATGAGAAAACACTTACCGTTAACGACAATTTAATAAGGGAGACATCACAAAACATGCAAACATTCAAAACAAGTTACAATGCATACATGTGAAAACACAGGGGTACCGCCTTGGAACGGTCAGTGGTAGTTAAACCATTCGGGAGTTTAAACCTGTTTTAGGCGCGCCAAACCTAACTCGTTCCTATATGACACGAAAATGTAAATAAAATTAATCCCCGCCAAGTGAATTTCTAACAATGGTCATGGTTACATTGGACGAAAAAATAAAACACATAAATGATCGTGTAAATATGTACAAAATAGTACAGACTTATGACCATTACTAAAGAACTCAATGATTTAAAGGGAAAGCAGAGTAACAAGAAAATCACCTACAAGGGCCCAAAGAAGCAAGACAGAAGAGGAACATTAAGAAAATTCAGTCTCAAAGGGCTTTAAGGTCTGTCCATCATAGAGTCTCCAACTCAGATGTAATCAAAAGAGGAAAGCGTCAAGCTGTAAAAGGGTTGAAAACCAAACACTCGGTATGCTTTGAAAAAAATGGGTCATAACTTCTTTTAATAAAACGTTAGATAATTTTAGTGAACTATTTTATTAATAAAATATAGTTATTTCCGTTTTCATAAAATATACCAAATACAGCTTTCAGTTTTAGACTTCAATATATCCTGTCAAAATCAAGATTTATTTTACATATTCATGCTCCCGATGTTTAATAAATCAAATATTAACTTTGTCGCTTTACGATTTTTAGTCTTATCATACTCGATTAAAGTGCTGTAAATCGGTTGTATCAAGTGTGTACACAACGCAAATAAGTGAACTTTAATATATAGCATTTATAAAAAAGAAAGGTACTCAATGTGTAACAGTTACAGCTGTACATTTATTATCATTAGAATGAGCATGTGTTTACTCTATAACAATACACAATGTATATCCTAAACTTATCAACGGGTTTATGTGGAAAAAGTTTAGTAACAAATCATTTTACAATTTCCTTATAGATATAAGACATAACTATTATGATATGTGAAATTGCAATGAAGTATCTAAATATATGTATGAATAGAGGTAAATTCAGATTTAGAGTAACTCAATAGACGTTATCCGGAACTGGGCAGCGGGTTTTCTCCTAGCTACAAATTAACCAATTAACTTTTACCGTTATAGCTTTAAGGTGCACTACCTGTCACAATAGATAATTTCTATAAGCATACTATAAAAGTTTATATGTACCTACGTTCATAGCTGGGAAAACCCAAAATATTCTAAATTCCGGAGTAGGTCTATACTTTCCTAAACAATGTGTCTTAACACGGGTAGAAAATGTCACAAAACATTTTTTTTTAAGTATCATGGTATAAATTAAAGTTGTGATATAAAAAGATGTCTCTTAAAGTGAATTAATAATGCTCAATTTGTCCGTGTCAAGTTGAGTTGAACTAGTATTATATTGCAAAAGATTGATTATTATAATGATGATTGACCAATAAATGATCATAACGAAAAATATTTATGATACGATGTTTAAACAACCTATGTAATAAAAAGACTGTCCCACTCTGTTTTAAAATTTTAGCTGTAAACGATATTTATAGAAATTTTCGTATGTCAAATGAATTTTTGATTATTTTTTCATAGAAAAATTTAAAATTGAACACAATTATGGCAAAATGTCTATTTAATTTGATAATGTTCATTGTTCATTTATTTACACTTGGATTGGCATCATGCCACTTTATGTTTTGATATGTTATTGTATTATCCCAAAATCTGCTTAATTTGTTTAATTAATTCGTAAAGATTTAAATTTGGAAAAGTTCTTTCATAGTTATTTCAATATCAAAATATAAAAATTTAAATACCAACAGTAATGTAACTAGTCAGACTTCGAGGGTGTAACGGCTAACTATTATTTCACCTGTATAAAATACTGCGTTGTCTTGTGAAACTACTGTCAATAGTTAAATAACACTTGAAAAACTCTTACCGTTTATTTTACATGTTTCTTGAATATGTTCCAAATTTCATTTGACATGTAATCTGATCATTCTCTATTTAAAACATTATATTAATTTCATGCTATTTCACAATATCTGTGTATGTATGTACATTTTGGATTGTAAAAAGAAATCATTGGTAAGATAGAATTGTCATTAAATGAACAATGAGTTTATTATCAAAACGAACGTATTTTTGTTTATATATCATTGTTAAAGCTTTTAATAATATAATCGATCTTTATTTTTAAATAGATGTAAGTTATTTTTGACAAAACATCACTTTGTTGTTGGATTATCGAATACTAGTATTACATTGAAAAGTATGAAAATATAGTAGATATTAACATACTTAAGGTGCATTTTAACATTCAAACGGAATTTCTATATATTTTGGTCTTGTCGGCAATTAATATCACCTCTGTAAAATAGAATAATTGGTTATTTAATCATAATGAAATGAAAAAAAATGCAACGATTGTTTACGAGGCTGCAGTTTAAATGAACACGTAATCAAAGATAAAAATCATTAATATTAGGTGAAATGACTCCAAACCCACACATGTCATGTTTAATTGGCTTGATTTGTTATCTAAATAACAAATGCATTTTCTGAGTTTAAGATGTTAAAATATTGTTTTATTTATAAATGTAATGAATTTTCACGGTAAAAATAAATTTCAAACACTGACATTTTATAGGTTGCATCAAGAACTTAACGTCATTAAACAGATGTAAGATATTTTTGACAAAACATAACTTTGCATATGTCATTTTTATAATCATAATCATTGTTATTTTTACTATAATAATAATAATAATAATAATAATAATAATAATAATAATAATAATAATAATAATAATAATAATAATAACAATAATAATAATAATGATAATAATAGAAATAATTATAATAATAATATTTATTATGTTTTAATTTTTACAGGTACTCCTTTTATCTCAGTGTATATCTTTATATTCATAAATAAACTACGTCAATATATTTGAAAGTCAAAATGATCAATTGTTTCTTAAAATTTTGAATCAAATTTAATTTAATGACATGTTTAATACCATAAATCTACAGTCATACGAGGACATACACTTGTTATCAAAATTGATATACTGGTTTCCCAGCATGATGATTTCACATATTACGTGTAGCGTATTTATAATAGGACGGGTCAAATGATAATATATACAGTTCCAAAGTGTATGATGAATGACATCTTTACGTTTCGTGTCGTTTACTTATTAAATGTTAAGGATATTCACTTAATTACTTATACATTATATCGTTTATACCTTTGCAAAAATAGCATTGATAGTTGTTTTTATCTTTCAAGACTTCTGCCAACCTTATTTCGTTCTATATATTAGAGAATGAAAACAGTCACACTTGAATTACAAGTCTAAGCATATAAATAATGTTCCGAGGAATAAAGGCAAAACCTTTTTAGTCATCCACTATCATACAAAAACCCAACAAATACAATACATACACTTACATACACGTACAATATGACAAAAGTCTAAATAGTCATTTACTTGACTACATCGGGCAGGTTCTAATTGTAAATAAGGTTGTATAATGAATTACTGCACTTTGACATTTTTTATCAAAGTATCAGTCTTATTTTCAGTAGCCTAAAATTATCATTAGTAAAAGTGTCAGAACAATTGATGTGGCTCTGATGTAGCATTAACGATATGAAAAATGTGTTGTTTCCTTGACTGTTGATACTGATAGACTAATTGTTGTTCAATTTCAGTACTTATTTAGATTCAAGGTGTACATTCTATGTGTGAACTTTACAAAGGAATATTATAGACTTTATAATAATTAAATGAATGATTGTTGGAACACCAATTTGAATAGCGGAAATGTTATTTTTTGACAGAAGTCAGCGAAAGTCGATAACGTCCATTACGGATACTTAATATACTTTGTCTCCAGCTTTAGGCGACATTTTTACTAGCATGCAATAATTCTTGTTATAACCCAGGTACTTCAAGTACACAATAAAATATTACATAAATGCACAATAAATCTACTTAAGAGAGCGCCGCCCACGGAACGCAACTCACACTTAAGTCCTGTCAAACAACACCAGTCATAAAGGGCATAAGGGCAGTGGAAGGGATGGCAAGAATAGATTATCGAGCATCTTTCTGGGTACTATAAATATCAAGGATATTTTACGGAAGAGCGGAGGAGAATAAAATTGTACATTGGCCAATTCTGAAGGGAAGAAAGTACTTGTTACCGAATCTATAAGCACATATCATTGTGAAAAACGTACACAGAAAAGAACATGACAGGGTATTGGAACGTTCATTAGCAAAATACTTTTACGGAATTAAAAACACTCAAGAACAAACCTCAATCTAACCTGAAAGAACAAAATGTTCATGTAAATACATGATTTATAAAGAGTACTCGAAGCCTTAAAATAAGACAGAGGATCTAGAAAATCACGACGTTGTCCAAATACTATACCTAACCAAAAATATAACAAACACATTAGAGTGTGACCGCTTGTATAAATATAACCAACCTTGCTTCCGTCTTCAAAATCGTAATTGTATTAGGGTTACATAGATAGGGTTTCCGGGTGCTTTTATAACAATTAGCTAATAGCTAATTCTTTCAGATAGAGTTAAGATTCTCTAAAAGAATCATCAAAAGCTATTATAGGCAATTCATTTTAACACGGCTGTCTTTGATCAAAGTGAAAAAGATAAGTGCTTAAAGTCAAAACCATCACTACACCGGGGTTGTTTAGGTACGATAAAGCTTCCAGGTCACGCATATAATTTAAAGTTACCACACGACAATCAAAAGTGAATAAATTGCGATAAAACTAAGAAATAAGAACAAATATCAACATACACAATGGAATAATTTGTTTTACTATCAAAGAAGTAATCATGGAATATGTCATAAAGGCACTCGTCATCTTTAAACCATTATGGCTCACATATTGCAACGGTACACTTAGAAATGACTGAATAACTTTTTTCTGTTTTCGTATGTTTTATGTGTTAAATGTATTTCAAAGCAAAACCTTTGTTTTACGGACTTTTACATAAAATTTAGATCAAATTATAAAGTTACACTTTAATTTAAAAAACTATTCACTCAGAAAAAAGTATCTTTTGCAATTTTTGCAATAAGGCCATTGGCTTGTCGCCTAAAGCAAATCATACTTCATGTTCGTCCTCCTTCTTTAATTAAAAAGAAATGTTTCGATCAGAAAACAAAATAAGTGTCAAAACGCTTCAAAACATCATAAGGGGGACTGAGAAGAAATGAGACATTTTCTTAACATGTCTGTTTTCACTATCGTTTTTTTTCTATTTTGTTAGATCTTCCTTCAATATCTAAGACAGAAAAGGTGTTTTCTTTGATGAAAAATTGATTATGGCTCTAGAGAATATTCATCTGCGAGTAATTTTAATAGCATGGTGTTTTACTATAGCAGAAGGTAAGTTCATATTTTACGATGTTTCACTACAATTCAATGACAAATGATTGCTTAGCTATAACACTTTTGTTCGTAAACCATTGACTCCCCCAATTCTAAAAAGTTAACTAGGTTTCTTCAAGTATTCTACATATAAACTTAAATTCAAAATTTAAATCATTGAAAAGTTTCTGAAGCCTTTTGGATTTCAGATCGTTGTTAATGACTAAATATTAATCCTTTACCTGATGGATCCAAAAGTAACAAGAGCCATTTCAACATGGCCATCCCCCGCTTTAATTTTTTTTTTATTATTTTCAGGTACAACAAAAAGATCAAAACACTACAAAAGTCCAGCCATTACATTTTCTTACGAGGTGTATCATTTTGTTAACACTTATGATTTTACTTGTAACTGGCCTTAGATCTACATAGAAAATAAATACATGATATTTTTTCATTGTTGTATGAAAATAAATATTTCACAATTGACAGTAGCTTCGAGTGAAAGTATGAAAATTTTCATTCAGCTGGATGAACATATACATTAAGTATTTATAGAAAACAAATCCTGTATTTATATAGAAATCTTGAATTTTCTGTTAATAATATACATTTTTCTTTCCTTTTGTTTTTGACATCACATTTTGAAAGACTTTCATTGGCTTAATTTAAGAAGTATTTCGACTTTTGGTTCCGTATTTTCGTTTAAAGCCTGACAAACAATGGACAAATTTGTTACTTTTGTTTTCTGCGAAAATGCTGCAATAACATATGTAGGGTATTAAACGATGCCTGCTTAAAATGTCAGCAAATGTGTAAAATCTAAACGGAAAAGGTTATACAAGGAATGCAATATGAAGTATCTAATTGCCAACAAATATTTCATTTCATTACTTATCAGTGTCAACCTTGTAAAACAGTTTGGTACCACTGTGCGTATAATATGCAAATGAGACGTTTCATGTGACATGTACTAGTATTCCAAAACTGTTATAGTTTCATAGTTATTAAAAAGCTTCCAAATGTAAACAGAACTGGCCAACAACATCTTGAAGTGTTTAATCAAATATAAACAAGTCATTCATTTAAAAGATATGTTATCCAAATAAGTAAATACGTATTAATGCCCGATGGTACATATCTATCAGGCTATGTTTTTTATATCGTTTGTTTACAAATTGCCAAATCTTGGTTTACCAATATATTTCAGACATCTATTGCCGCAACTAGCCCATGTGTTTGGAAAAAAATAATTATTATTTTCATGTTTTTTAAACTGACTAGATGATATTCTCTTGCGACTAAATTGACCATGAGGCAAGATCGTGTTTACAATAATTTGTGTTATTTGAGTTAGCGTTTGCAAAATGTGTTTAGTCATGATTTTAACAGTTCATGATTGGCCAATGTCTACAATGTTCATTTGATTTACCATTTTTAATTATTTAATATGTGTTCGTCGTTTGAAGTTTACAACGAAACTATGATTAAAGCGCATATCACTTTTGTTTATATTAGCTAAATTCAATTCTTATTTTAAAGGTATGTTGTGTATAATATATTAAATTAATGCATAGTCCTTATACGAATGATTGAACTCGTTAAATCAGTTCAATACAAAAGAAAACATTCCTACTCCATATCCCCTATTTTCTATCCGCTATTGGCACTATAGAAATTGCACATTTATTGCAATGGTACATGTTTGTGAAAAGTGTAAACATTCGTCATTTCAGGTTGCGGTTTCATCGACGATAATCGGACTTTTAATCACACTGTTCCTGGTCTACTGGTTTATATTTCGACCCATGTTTAATGCAAGTAAGAATCAAAAATATCTTTTCTAGGAAACCCAATGACAAATACGCTCGTATATAACATGTTTATAACTCAGGTTAACCAATGATTGAAAATTTATTACTTTTGAAATGATTCTAAATCATAAAACGCACAATTAATTTTCACTTGTACAATACATAGAAAATCTACATATTCTTTTATCTTTGGACAGCAGAAAGGAAAAAACGCCATAATCGGATAAATATGTTCTTGTTGGAATTTTGGAAGAATGATGTTATCATGAAACCATCTTGGGGTAGCAGAGAGTACAAAGATATAAGTAGCTCTATACAAAGCTTGGTTGAAGATATCATTGTCAAAGTGTTTTCATGCAAGGACAGTTCTTTGGTCATAAAACGGGAAAATGTCAGTAAGTATGTTAAGCTAATTGGAAGCTGTCAAGAAGAATCGAAGGTTCAACGGCCAGACGAGTTTGACTTTTCTATTACATTTCCAGCTTTTTCTGAAGACAATGTTTTTGTTGAACACGGAAGCAGCATTAGACCTGATGAATTTATGTGTATACATAAATACTTGTTGTATGAATATGACAATGCATTTGTTCAACTAAGATATACAGGAAGTATTGATAAAGAAAGTCAGCTGTTCCGTCTTTTAACGAAAGTTAATAACCATTATTACATATCTGCTTTTAAAATGCATAGTTTCTTTAAAAGACGTATTCGCTCCGTTGTAAAACTGTTAGTTCGTGACAAATATTCCAAAACATGTTCAACCGGGAAACTGGTTGTCGAATTTCCGGATGAAGACAAATACAACTCTGAAGAAAATGGCCCAGCATGGACACTTCCCCTACTTTGGGATCGCAACTATGGAAAAGGATACAGAATCAATGTTGATATTGCACCTGTAATATTGATATCAGATCAGTTTCCTGCTATCTCTATGACGACATTTAAAGACACAAATCTAAGTGCCAAAAGATTTATGCCATATCCGGCCATATGTTATATGTTGGGAAATGACAGATATGACTACATGTCCAACATTGAGCAAATGAAAGGGGGGACATATTCTTTAACTTATAAAGATGTCATGGCAAGAGTGTCCGATGAGAATAAATTGTTTGTTGAGTTGTCTTTCTTAACATCTCATGTTCACCATGAAAATACATTGATGAAAGAACTTAAGAATTCATTCAACAACCTATTTATAACTTATCAAATCTTTAAACGATTAGAACCTCTGTGGTCAAGATTTAAAGTGAAAGGACAATTACATGGTTTACGGTTTCACAGTTATGTCCTAAAAACAATCATCCTTGATGAAATTATTCATGGCAAGGAAACGATTTCACGGCACGACGACGTTGCAACATGTTTCAAGGTGATCCTTAATCGTATTATAGATTTGTCCGAATCATGTCTCCGTGGTAACCATGAGTCTGTAACCTCCCTATGGTTTGATGAACACATTCTGACATGCGCACAACTCCCACAAGTATTAATGTACGACGAGGAATATTTGCACGCATTCAGACAACAGTTTCGAGTGCTTTGGGATTTGTTAAATACTGTATCAGAAGATGATGCCTATGAATATTACAATTATAAACATGTTATTCTAGATTTGATAAGTAAACCAGCGAATTTCAGAATAAATTGAATATATTTCAGTAAACACACATAATTAACCTTTTAGAAAAGATGTGATTAACAAAAGGTGTATGACATCTATTGAATGCATACCGAAAGAAAAAGGATCAATATTAGGTATCCTGTGAACACCATACATGTACATGTGTGCGTGATGACAAAAATCAGCTATAATTCATTGTGAAATCATTGCTAACATTTGTGACATGCCTTTTTTTTAAAGGTGCATTTTATGAATATGTTTAAATATATTACCGTTTGCTTAAGAATCAACCATTCTACAGCTTCATTAAAGGCCAATTATGCCTGAGAAATGCTTTTTTATTTCGTGAAAGCTTTTAATTTTAGTTTCCAAAATGTTGCTCATTGGCAAATTATCTAAACCAGTTTTTGCTTCTAGGCAATTAGTACACTTATAGTGATTTAGTTTTTGTATGGACTACTGTTAACAATTTGCTACTTTCATAACAAAAACTTTCTCATTCCGCGCTTATTACCTCAGCAGATAAGCATGCTCTAAAATCATTATTTAAATGCTATAAAACTCATGTTTGCCAATTAAATTAAAAAAATATATTCGTTTCTGAGGCTTAATATGTTTAATGACCATTTTTCTCTATATGAAGGCCGCAGACATTTGTGCTGATAAAACTCATTTGGTCTTCTGGACTCCAAAATAAGAACGTAAATCGATATGTAAACCATTTAATTAATACAATGTAGCTATTTTCGCTTTTTATAACTTCAATCTCCCATCAAAATTTGCTAACATGCTTCCGATGTTATTGACTTTGTCGCTTTACAATGTTTAGTATTATCATACTCGATTAAAGTGCTGTAAATCGTTTGTATCAAGTGTATCAACGCAATTAAGTGAACTTTAATATATAGCATTTATAAAAGAAAGGTACTCAATGTGTAACAGTTACAGCTGTACATTTATTATCATTAGAATAAGCATGTGTTTATTCTATAAAAAATATATATCCTAAAATTATCAACGGCTTTATGTGGAACAAGTTTATTAACAAATCATTTTGCAATGTCATGGTTCAAAAATGGTGACAATAATAAGTTACGTATTTCTGTATAGCTTAAAGATATTACTATTTTGATACGACAACATTGCAATGAAGTATTTAATTGTATGTGTGAATCGCGGTAGATAAATATTCAAAATTGTGCGGGGATTGTGTATAATGGTTCTATCTTTAAAACTCTAATACTAAATAATTCTTATAAAAAAGTAGAATGATATATGTGTTCCATACTTGGTTTTGAATGTTATATTATTTGGTGGTAAGAGAAAAGTAAAATAATAATGATTTTGTAAATAATCTGCCATAATCACCCTATACTGTTAAATACAAAGTGTCTTTACTCGATGTAAAAAATGTCTCAAAAGGAAATGATGTAGTTATGATATAAATAAAAGATGTTATATCAATACTTTTCCCTTGAATTTTGAATCGTACTATACTCAAATCTACTTTATTTATGTAATATATTTGTCGTGCTTTGAATGTTATGGTTCGACAATGGTAAAAATAATAAGTTACGTATTTCTTTATAGCTTAAAGATATTACTATTTTGATACGACAAGATGAAGTATTTAATTGTATGTAAGAATCGCGGTAAATAAATATTCGAAATTGTGCGGGGAGAGTTATAATGGTTCTATCTTTGAAACTCTAATACTAAATAATTCATACAACAAAGTTATAAATGATATGTGTGTTCCATGCTTGGTTTTGAAATGTTTATATTATTTGGGTGGTAAGAAGAAAGTAAAAATAATAATGATTTTTGTAAATAATATGCCAATAATGGACCCTATAACTGTTCAAATACAAAGTGGCCTGTACTCCCGATGTAGAAAATGTCTCAAAAGAAATGATGTAGTTATAAATATCGTTATGAATAAAAGATGTTTTAGAACCTATTTTTTTCACGAATTTTGAAATCGTACTATTCCTCAAATCTGCTTTTATTTGGGTGTAATGCATTGCTTTTGGGAATCTGAACTGGTTTGAAGGAATTTCAATATCAAATAAAAAGATTTATTACAAAGTATGGTCTGAAGTGCAGCCGTCCTGTAAAACAATTAAAGTAAAATTATTGCAAAACATTCGTCGTACTCTTATTAAATTATCTAACCGATTATCTAATCATATTTCCTGATTTGTTTCAAAATTCAACCTGACACATAAACTGATTACATATCATCTATTTTAAACATTATAATTTCAATACTATTGCATTTTAAAGGCGTAGTCAGTATTTGTTTTAATAGCCAAAGTCATTAAACATATATACAAATGTTTCAATCTATATAATGGAACCATTTTTTTAAAGATACACTATGCCCATCTATGGGTAAAACACTTTTATTGCAGAAATTAATTGAAATCTTGTTAATTCTTCTTGAATTCTTCCTGTTTTATTTGAATTAATTGTTAAATTAATTCGGTCTATTTTTATAAAAGATAAACTGCCTGTTCTTTTAAAAGCACACACCATGTAACCCTACTGTGGTTAACCGTAGTGTATAAAACGCATCATATTTTCTCTGTGTGTATTAAAAAAAATAAAAATTTAAACCATGACCTATTTTATCAAATGTCGCAAAACATGCGTAATAACCTCGTATTTGGTAACATTCCCTAGGAGGCCCAGCCGGGTAAATCTAAGGATACAGAGAAAGTGTTGCGTAAATTTTTAGTGGATAAAATGAAATTTGCCAAGGAGATGATTGCCCAAATTCAGGCTGAAAAAGTACACAGAACAGGTGAAAGGGTAGACAGAAAGCATAGAAAAATTGTAGCAAAATTCACATTATTTAAGGAAAAAGATCTAGTGAGATAGTCATGGAAAGCACTTGAAAATACAAGTTTCTATTTACATGAACACTATCCAAAAGAGATTGCCGATAAAAGACGTATGCTAATGAAAAAGGCGAAGGAGGCGAAAAGTGAGGGAAAGAGAGCGTGGGTGTCCTATGACACTCTCTACATAGACGGGCATGCACAGAAGGATGTATAGGGATACAGTGGGGATGGTTTAAGTGTTTATCCTGGAATGTTAATGGACTTACAAATATTAAAAAGAGTAGCAAGGATTTTGTAAATATTATTACATCTAAAGACATTATAATTCTATATGAAACACAAGTAAAATAGACATTAATGGTTAAACAACGCATAACTTATATCGTAAATTTCAGCATCGCAGAGCTAAGCGATCTAGTGGGGGTACAGCAATATATTATAAAGACTGTCTAAAAGATGGTATTCATATAGTTCGAAACCATTATGATACTGTTATATGGCTTAAGCTATTTAAGGAATTTTTCATATTGTAAAAGATATTTATTGATGCGCAATATATTTATGGTGTGAAGAATCGCCAGCTTATGATGTATGTAATGTAGATTTATTTGATCTTATTCAAAACGATGTGTTTGATTTTGAAAGTCAAGGGTCATGCTATTTGATCGGAGACTGGAATAGTCGTATTGGTCTAAGGAATGATTTTATTACATGTGATATGTATAATGATGTCATAGATTATGATAATTATGTACCAGATGTACCCCTATCTCGGGCCTCTTTAGACAGAAATTGAAACACATTCGGGATTAAGTTATTAGACTTATGCAAATCTACAAATTTACGAATTTTAATGGTCGATTAGGAAGTGATATTTTACATACGTGTCCAGACAGGGGTCATCTGTTATTGATTATTTGGTAACAAATGCTTGTAATTTTATAAACATAATAGATTTTACTGTTACAGTACATAATTTAAATGAGTGGAGTGATCATTGTCCGATATCTTTTTCATGCTGTTATCTTGTTTGTAAAGACTATCATAGGATTAAAAATGAAACATACATTAAACATACTTGGTCTCAAGAGTTGAGAAACAATTTCCGGTCTGGCCTTATATCGAAATTGGCTGAATTAAATTCGTTGACTAGTAATGTTGATGTAAATGATAAATCTTGCATTGACAGTATGATCGCGAATTTTATATCGATCATACGAGATGTTGCTGATCCCTTATTTAGCAAAAAATATACAAGTAATCATAAGCAAATGTTTAGTGATGTACCAATTTCTGATGATAAATAATGGTTTGACTATGAGTAGGTGCTCGTCCAATCTTGGGATTACCCTACCTATCCCTTTAAAAGTGAAACTTTTTTTTTCGAGAAAAAAAACTAAATAAACCCTTTATGATATACAAATGCCGTAATTCAAAAAAATGTGATAATAAATTGAAAAAAAAAATAAAGGGAAGGGATGATGGCACAACTGAGCAAGCCTTTCCTTTTAAAAGGAACTTTTATCCCTGTTTGTAGAAGACTTAGAGTTATATCTACAACAGAATACAGACTCTGGTCTTACTATTGACAATATTATACTTATTTTGCTGTTGTTTGCTGATGATATGATTATTTTGGGTGAATCGCCTGATGAGGTAAATCAATCATTAAAGCTTTTATGTACTTATTGTGAAACTTGGAGTCTAGAAGTAAATACCGATAAAAAAAGTTGTTGTATTTAGAAGGCATGGTGGTTTATTAAGTAATGAAGAATTTTTCTACAATGGTATAAGACTTGAAATTTTGGATAATTTTAACTATTTGGGTACAATTTTTAATTGTACAGGTAGTTTTGTTCAAAATCAAGAGCATTTAGTTGGTAAAGCATTGAAAGCCTTAAACTTGTTAATTATTAATTGTCACAAATATAGATTAAAGCCTTAAATTATTTGTCAATCATCTGTTGGTTCTATTTTAAATTATGCATCAGAAATATGGGGATTCAGTAAATCTAAGGAAATTGAAAGAATTCATCTCAAATTTTGTAAAACATTATTAAAGGTCAAAAACGACGACATGTTCAACGGCTGTATATAAAAATCATTAAATATTAGTTTAAACTTACTTAAACAGATAATATAATATTACAGCATGCGTATAGAATTGCATATGATGATTGCTTATTTGGAAAGAAAAACTGGCTGTCAAATGTGAAAAAAGATATTATATGATTATGGTTTTGCATATGTGTGGGATTTGCCTGAAACTGTTTGTGAAAAGATATTTATATTATGTTTTAAACAACGGATTATTGATAGTTTTGTTCAAGGGTGGCATGCAAATAAGGAAAACAGTCCTGTTTTAGAAGTTTATAATCATGTAAAAAGTAATTTTGAGTACGAAAAATACTTGGATATTTTGCCTTGCAATTTAAGATGTTATTTAACAAACTTAAGGTTATCTTCACATTCTTTGAAAATTCAAACAGGTCGATACAGTACACAAAGAATCGATAGAAATCAACGTTATTGTATCTACTGTGATAAGCACGACATTGAGGACAAGTATCATTTCATTTTGATTTGCCCATATTATATTGATTTTAATAAACTATATATATAAAAAGTATTATTATGTTAAATCAAACATGTTAAAATTTGAAGAACTATTAAAAATGATAAAAGAACAATTATTTAAAATTTAGCTATTTATATTAAACGTGCTATGACTTTAAGAGCATCTGCTACTCATTTTTAAGTCCATCCTCTTAGAAAAGAAAACGATGAAATTGTATGCTTAAAAATATCATGATTATATTATGTAATTGTAACGTTATTAAATGTAAATGTGTAAATGTAATGTATGTGTTATTGCGATTCGATACTTATAAACACTGGTTTATCATGTGACTGTATTTATGACATGTAAATGTATTAATTTTGTAAATATGTTACGATTATGTACTTATGGTACAAATCTAATAAAATTAATGTTCTGTTCTGTTCTGTATTCAAAAAAGATTTCAAAAGAGACTGTATTGTAATTATCATTTATTTCACATATCAAATTTAAACATAATATAGCCTTCAAGAATGAAAACCAAATGGAGCCATAATTAGAGAAAAAGTATGAGGCTCATCTTTTGTCGAATAATTCCCCACACAAGAATAATATATCATAAATAGAACTAAAGCAAATTCACGTTTAATAAATAAATCTTCATTGCTATCAACAATTGTTATAATTAAACATTGAAATCATGGTTTCCCAAAATGATGATTTTACGTATTACGTGTACTGCATTTGATATTTTTACATATTACGTGTCGTGTATTTATAAAATGATACAGATATAATATAATAAATTTGCTCTTCCATTGATTGGCAATATCAACATTGATATTTATTTAAAACTTCTAATGCTTCTGCGAACTTTTATTTTTCTCTTTGAATTTAAGCGTAAAATCAGTCACATTTGAGGTTAAATCTGAATTATTTCGAATGAAAAATATACAGCCCTTAGCTTTAAAAATCGACACTCAAAGAAAATAAACAGTCCTCAGCTTTAACATCGACACTCAAATGAGTCAATGCTCATTTTTAATGATTTTTCCGCTTTGATATTGTCCTATCTATGCAGTCCTGTTTCATTTTATATTTCCGCACAGAAATAAGACACTGAGGATATACTCAAAACAAGTTTTAAAGTCATCAGCTATCACACGAAAATTACAGATGCAATTTATACTCTTACAATATGACCAATCAAACTTGATATGAATTCAAATGTGGAACTTCATAAATCTAAAGAATTATTTTTCAAGACTATGTACAACGTGCAGATTCTAATTCCATTTCGTGGTGAAAACTGAAATGGTTTAGTTTATATAAAATATGTTGTGAGTATTTCGCCCATTTCAT